CACCCCATCCCTCCCACCCCCCACCACTCCAGCAACCCTCAGTTTGTCTCCTGAGATTAAGAATTCCTCATATCAGCGAGGTCATATGATACATGTCTTAGGTAGTTTTTATTCACATTTTTTTAGGGGATTTGCTGCAGGTATCTATGGAAAGTACTTGCATCTGTACCGTTGACTGTACATAAAAAGATGTGTCAAACTTTACTTTGGATTTGTTCTTTCTGTTTGGTAGACGTGGGGCCTATGGACAAGAGATTTTGCAAGCATTTCCAATGAAAATCTGCTTAAATTCCCTCCCCGACCCCTTATCTGCTTCTGTCCCTAAAATTCGGCCCGGGAAGTGGACGGCCACATTTGCGCATTGCTTGGTGCGTCTCCCTCGTCTGTGCTGTTGGGGGAGCGAGAACTGCGAGTCCCTGCTCCGGGCGTTGACGGGCAAGTTGTGGGGTAACCGCGGCCAGCAACGGCCGGCTCCACTGCAGTCCCATTGAGGAGCGCTGGTTTATGTTCACAGTTGCTTGTGCTAGGCTTCAAGCAGCATGTCTTTAGATTCCACAAATGTACCTGTTAGTTTATTCAGGAACCCTTTTCAACTAGGGTGGATTTTAGGTACAGACTTCTAGAATTTCCCTTAAGGAGTTAATATGTCTTCAGCTCATGCAACGGGCTCCAAATGCCAGAGCCGGTGTGCCTTCTCAGACTCATATGCATGTTCCTTGTGTTGTGGGGGAAGAGCTCTTTGGGGTGTGAGGAGGGACATGGTGGGAGCTTGTGGGGGTATGAGAGACATGGTGGAGCTCGTTGGGGTGTGAGGAGAGACATGGTGGAGCTCGTTGGGATGTGAGGAGGGACATGGCGGGAGCTCGTTGGGGTGTGAGGAGGGACATGGTGGAGCTCGTTGGGATGTGAGGAGGGACATGGTGGGAGCTCTTTGGGGTGTGAGGAGGGACATGGTGGGAGCTTGTGGGGGTATGAGAGACATGGTGGAGCTCGTTGGGATGTGAGGAGGGACATGGCGGGAGCTCGTTGGGTTGTGAGGAGGGACATGGCGGGAGCTCGTTGGGATGTGAGGAGGGACATGGTGGGAGCTCTTTGGGTTGTGAGGAGGGACATGGCAGGAGCTCGTTGGGGTGTGAGGAGGGACGTGGTGGAGCTCGTTGGGATGTGAGGAGGGACATGGTGGAGCTCTTTGGGATGTGAGGAGGGACATGGCGGGAGCTCTTTGGGTTGTGAGGAGGGACATGGTGGAGCTCGTTGGGGTGTGAGGAGGGACATGGCGGGAGCTCGTTGGGGTGTGAGGAGAGACATGGTGGAGCTCGTTGGGATGTGAGGAGGGACATGGTGGGAGCTCTTTGGGTTGTGAGGAGGGACATGGCAGGAGCTCGTTGGGGTGTGAGGAGGGACGTGGCAGAACTTGCCAGGAGGGTGAGCAGAAGCTCCGCAGATTTGTTTGTTGGGGCTAAAGTCTTATTCCAGCCTTCAGATTTCCCCACAGTGGGAAGTCCTCCCTTTCCCTCTCGTTCTTGGAGGCTTAGCAGGGTGAGCCCTATTATTAGCAAAGACACGGTGCCTGTTATTTATTTATTTTCCAAGCTGCAGCTTAGGGTTTCAAACCTAAAGCCAATTTGGGAGTACCAGGGCTCTATACAAAAGCATTTCTATATGTTACTGAGTATTCACACGTGTTAAGTGGAGCTCTCCTGGAATGCAGACACGGCCTTGCACCTTTGCACATAAAATAGAGCAGATCCTGCTGGAGTAAGGAACAATCTCCCTTAAACCGGAGGAGTGGTGTTCTTCATGTCCCACATTCAGAATGACACAGACGAGATATCTTTAAAGTACGTTCTGCGATGATCTTGTCTGTGGTCTTTGGCAAGGGCTCTCACGACTTAGTGGGTTTTAAACTTGATTCCCTCTAGGACACAAAGCCCGTGGGTTCCAAAGCTGGGGCAGAAAATGCAGGAAGGCAGCATATCTGAGGACATTTGCAAACCACAGCGTTAGATCAGGGTTACATGAACGTTCCCTTCTGTGACGTCCAATTTCAGGTGCCTTTTCACCACGGTACAAACGGTCCCACATTTTTTTTTTCTTCCCCGGAGAAAATTATTTCTCAGAGTGCTTGTAAGATTCTCCTGCTTTTCCAGATAGAGTCCTTCACCTGGCTTTTGTTAAAACTTATTAAGTCTGACCAAATTGGCTTGTGTTTCCCTGACATGAACGTTTCACCAGAGCCAAGATGGGCTTTAGCTTTTCTGACAGCTGATGGGTTGTTTCTCAAGGCAAGGGAGAGCTTATAAGCACTTTCTGAGTATGATACAGCACATGCTGGTTAGAGGAGCACAGACAGGCCAGGTGTTTGGGGAACAGTTTGTTAAAGCCAATGAATTTCTCAAATGGGCGAGAAGATGAAAAGTTCTCAGCTTTCCCCGCCGCAGTGGTGGGTGCCCGGTAACCGGAGGAGGCAAGCAGGGGATGCTATTTGCAGCCATACCAGCTCTATAGGACTCCAGGTAATTGGGTGGCCAGCTAAAAGTCCTGGTAAAGTTGGTCAGTTTGGGGTGGGACATCTTACTGACCCAGCGGAACTGGCTCGGGACTGGGTTTCTTGAACCGGTGACTGGTGATCTGTGCATTCTGGTGAATCGGTTGTGCCTGGCTAATGGCCAGCTTGAGCCCTCTGTGCTCCTGCTCTTGGCCTGCTCTCACCTCTACACCACTGTTGATCACGGGCTCCTACTAAGTGATAAATGAGACAGATAAATGATTATCTGTCTCATCTCCCTTGCTCTTGGAGCCTTTGATCTCTTATCTCTTGGTTCTTGGTCCTGCTTTGGCACAAAGAGCACATGAAAAATGCCTGGGCTTGCCTCTTCCCTGGAAAGCACCAAACAAGGGAGAACACCCAGGGAGGAGGGAACGAGAATGCTGGGCTCTCCTGGGTATCCAGGCAGCCTCTGTGGGAGGGAGACACGGACCAGGTGGGGATAAAGAGCTGGAAGGGGCTCTGAAGCAGTAGGGCAGGTGATGGGGCTGGCGGCAGTTGGGGGCGATGCCCAGCAGCGTTTGGGTGCATCTGGACTCCCCAGGGTCATCCCTCCAGTGGATCCAGGGCTGTCACGTAGGCAGGGGTACGCGCTTGGTCTTTACAGACCCATGTGTCAATCACTCACAAGTGTCCCTGGCGTGTTTGACGTCTTAGTGCTATTGGCAGGGTTGGACCCTCTTCCTGGTGTCCGTGGCCTCACCCACACCTCCTGGTCCCCCGCCTCGCTGCCTGTTTCTCCCTGGTCTGCGGCATGGACTCCTTTCCTGTATCCATCACCCCTCTGTGCTCCCTGCCTCCCACGCTCTGTGCTCTGTCTCCTACATCGGGGGTTCACAGCCCCAGGCTGCCGTGGGCTTTGGGAGTCAGTGGAGGTCCATCTGAATGGGGTGTTTCACCGCCTTTCCCTCTAAAATTAGCTCCTTTTCCAGTGTTGGCTACCTCAGCAGATGGCAGTGTGATCACTACGTGTTGCCCCAGCTGGGGATCTGCAAGTCTCCTGCACCTGTGCATTGTGGACGGGCTACCCACGCCACTCACTGCCCTCCCTGCGTGCGCCATGAATTAGGCATTCACGGAAGGCTTGCTGGGAGAGGCCCAAGATTCCTCTCCTGGTCAGTGTCCTGGAGCATCCGAAGTATCAGTGTTCCCCAAGGTTCCGTTGTGAAAAATCTCAAGTTTACAGAGACGTTGGAAGAAGAGTCCAGTGAACGTGTGTTTTCCTTTGCATTGTTAACACTCTGCCATGTTCCTGTTCTGTCTCCGGTTTGCTGAGCCGTTTGGTCGTAAGGTACAGAGATCATGACGCCCACCCCCGAAAACTTAAACACGTACCCACCGAGAATATAAATGTTCTCCTATGCACACAACATGTTAGCATGCTTCAGAAATCAGACATGTATGCATCTAATGCACAAGCTGTGTTCAGATTTCTCTAATTGTCCCCATATGGCTTTCATGGCTGTTAAAAAATTTAAAAAAACTCCAGGGTCCAGTCAGAGTTCACACGTTACATTTGGTTGCTATGTCTCTCCCATGTCTTAATCTAGAACAGTCTCTGCACGTTTCATTTATTGTCTTATTTTCCATTTGACTCTTTGGAGGATCC